AGCTTCTTTCAAAGCTGAATGCCGGTTGAAAGTAGTTATTCAGAGTTCAGTCCTTCTGACAAGGTGCATTATTTATTATGTCAGTGATTTAAGAAAATCTTCTTAGGGTCAAATGTTGCTGATGCAGACTCATGAATTTGCTGTCCTGAGAAAGTTCACCTGTAAGTCAGAGAATTGATCAGCAAATAAACATACATGTTATTCTATGGATGGAGATTCAGCTGGGTAAAAATGGTTTTACCAATTAGGAATATAACATAGTCGCTGATCTCCTTTGCTATCAGCATCTGGCGGCCTGCAGCTACGTAGGGCTAAGATGCATAATAACAACACAAACCTAAACAATACTCCAAAATTAATACCTCTCATTGAGACTTTGCTTCCTCTGCTGCAAGTGTAAAGCTAAATGGCATTTGTGGGCAGAAAGCAAAATGTTGGCTCCATGTAGAGCCCCATGAGGGTCCTGTGGCAGGCACAGCACCATCACCTTTTCTGGTGTGCAGAGCCATGTGGGCTTCACTTTGAGACCTTCTAAGAAATTATCCATTATTTCTAGTCCTGTTCTGTTCAAAATTAAGGTCTTTTTCCATCAAGGCTTCCTGGAGAGGTGGTTGATGGCCCATGCCTGTCAGTGTTTAAGAGGCGTTTGGACAATGCCCTTAATAACATGCTTTAACTTTTGGTCAGCTCTGAAGCGGTCAGGCAGTTGGACTAGATGATCATTGTGGGCCCCTTCCAACTGAACTGAACTATTCTGTTCTATTCTATTATAGAAAATTGTGAGTCTGACGGTACTAATTAAATTAATGGCAATTAGTACTATTTCTGTTTGGGGGAAGAGAGGACAGAATAAATAGCAGTTCTTCAAAACTTTTATTTACTTTTCAAAATATTCTTCTTTTCCTGAAAGAAGCAACGTGAATCCTTGGGTAAGGACTAGTATTTACTAGAGGATGTTATGAGATAACCATGTTTCTGCTCAACTTTACTGTGTACTGTACTGAAATATGTCTTTGCATAGTGAATAGTTGAATGATATGCTTTGTTTTGAATAGACAGGCATTTTAGTTAACACGGATATTATCAAACTAAGAGATAAATGTGATTTGTAGAATAAGGTTTAGTGGCTGGTATTTGAAACAGAGGTATTGAAGTAATTGCAAAACAGTTTCTGACTGGAAATGTATATCAACATGGGATAGTCGGAGAGAAGTGGGTTCACTGGAATTCTTAATATGGAGTAAGTCTGCGTTTGTGTTCCTACTCTAAAGCTTCCTAGTCCTTTCAGTACTATAACTGTACAAGTGTGTGTTTTTTTTTTTAAAAAAAAAGGTAGAAACCTGATGCAAGTTCTGTTTAACTTCAAAGTTTGTCCACTTGCCTAATGGTGTTTATAAATTTTAATTTGTGCATGACTCGAAGGGAAGGAGCATGTGTTACAGAGTTGAGACTAGTGCTTACTGGGAAAAGTCATTGCACAAATCTCCACACTTCTCACCTAAAGTTTGGTAAACAAGAGGGTGAGAATAAGCAGTAATGAAGATGCTCAGTTGTAAATCTGCTTGAAAAGATCTTGAAACAGGAGTGAGTGCAGTACACCAATTTCTGTCTTTATTTTTATTCTGGTTAATGGTGAAACTGATAATCTCATATTCCCACTTCTTAATTTCTCTGGTCATGCGTGCTCTGCTAACATCTCTTTAAAGGAGATTAGGCCCAGCAAAAGGCCTGTCAGCTTTCCTGGTCGTATGGCTTATGACTGAGAACCAGAAGACATATGTACCTTGGGTTGGCTTTGGAAAGCCATGGGCAGGAGCGTCCTGGGGTTGATTGCCTGGCAGAAGGATGGCAGTAGACTGCCTGTGCTTGTGCTTGGCCTTGTGCTTGGTTCGGCCCACAGCCGGATCCCAGAATGAGATGGTGATTGATACTGGCTTGGTTTGCCTCTGGTCACTTGTTCCCTTCAGGCAGAGACTTAGCTGTCAAGGTAGTTTCTGTATCAGTGCAGGTCTGTTACTGTTCTCATGACATTGCCCAAGAAAAGGAGACTTTGAAGGCTGTATGTGTGACTTGACCTAGACATTGGCCATCCCTGCTGGCCTGCCTCTTCCTTGGCTGTGATGTATGTGCACTGGCAACTCCCTGCCCCACCTTTCCTTTTCCCCGTGTCCTTGTATCCTCGTGTTTGCCTTGTGTGTTACAGATCCCCTGTCTGCTTCTCCTGTTGTGCTTTGGCTGACTGTGTTCCTGCAGGCTTGGCAGTTGAAACACTGTTGGAGTAGAAGAGTGGGAAGGGTTTCTCTTTCTGTTTTGCAGTTTACTGAAAGACAGCCCACACAAGAAGAGACAAAGTTTTGTTCTCGAATTTCAAAAAATTATTCCCCCAGCATTACAGAAGCTTGGCTGATGTGATTTGTATTGCAGGATGTATAGCTTAATCTTCTAGGTATTTTGCATAAAATTAAATTTTCGGTGCATTTCCTTGAAACTTTTGTGACCTTCTTAGTCAACTTGTTCTAGAAGCTTTAATTGGAAAAAGGTTCTCATGGTGAATTGTACATCAAACTGCTCCAGTTTTGTAAGAAATTAAACCTGAAAATTTTTTTTAAAAGCCTTATAGTCAGAAGAGACTTGGGGTAATTGCATTACCTTTAACCAGTAGGCTGCATACAGTTTTTTCAGAGAGACCCTGTCTGGCAATGTAAGTTGTCATAGCAGCTGAATTTATCTATAGAGCAAATAGCAGTGTATTTGCTTTATAGAATTATTGCTCCAATATTCAGGGGGTTTAATGGACTTTTAATCTTTTGGTTGTGTCAGCTCTGGATGTGCTGGTAGCTAATACTGCCTTTTTCATTTTGTGTGTGGAACTTCCTTTAAGTTGGCTTCCTATTGATAGTGTTTAAATTGCAATCGGAAACCTTAAAGATGCACAGCATCATGCTTTTTATTCATTCCCATTTAGTGATCTCACTCTAACAACGTGGAGGGTGGAGCCTTCTAAATCTAGAGAGTGCTCCCTTATTCCCACTGGTCTAACTGAACATTAATTCTCCCGTTTCACAAATCCTCTGAGAGATGAAGAGAGCCTAGATATATTTTAGAAACAATTTTTAGAGTCTACTTGCCAAATTCTCTTAGTTGTCAGTTTAGCAAAAAGAGAACTGACATATTAAGATGAAATTACCTACTGGAATTCTGGGGTTTTGGTGACTAATATGTTTTGGTTTTGTTTGTTTGTTTAGAAATTCTTCCTGTATGGATTAGCCTTCTAGTGATGGTGAAACTGGAAGAAGACCACTTTAAGCAAACCCAGGATGAATCGGGTGCCAGGTGATGCAGAAAATGCTCACAGTAGCAGTGTGGAATCCTGTCCTTCCTTGCGGGATGTCCACTCCATCAACCCAGCGCAGCTGATGGCAAGGATTGAGTCATATGAAGGCAGAGAGAAGAAAGGCATATCAGATGTCAGAAGGACTTTCTGTTTGTTTGTTACATTTGATCTCTTATTCATAACCTTGCTGTGGATAATAGAATTAAATGTGAGTTGTCTTTTCAGTACCTTTAGAATTTATTAATTTATTTATTCACTTCAGGGGTGGTTAAAAAGTTGCTCTTTTCTATCCCAAATTATATGCTATTTGTGTCTATTTAAATTAAAGCAGCATCTTACTTTTAAGCTTTCACGAACATAGTATCTACTCAACTGCATCTACTTTTAGTCATTAGGATACATGGTTTATTATCTTCTTAGCATTAAACCTTTTGGTGTTCCTGTAGTCTATGAACCACGCTGAAGAAACCATTGGAAAGCCAGTGGACTTTTCAGGTGGCAAGTAAACAAAAATGTTGCTGCACATCTTTGAATTTGGCAAGAAGTGTGAATTTTAACAGGATTCGAGAGTTTGCCTTTTGAGTAACTCCAAGTCAGTGATATTTCACTGAGGCGTTAGTCCCTGGAAAGACTTCCAATGGCCAAAACCTACTTTTTGCTGTGATGTATTTTCTTTGAGACAAACTTAGTATGCTATACATTGTGTATGGCAGGGTGCATTTAAACAGCATAAACTCCCACAGTTGCCACCTTTTAATTCCAGCATTTGTAATTTGGAAAACAAGGCAGTTCTGAAATTTCCAGAAAGCAATAGAATAGCTGATTTGTTATTATTTCATAAGTAGCATCCTAATTCTTGAGCTGGGTTTTAAGCTATAATCTAAAGTATGCATTTAAGAAAGGACACAGAGTAAAAATGGAGGAATCCCTTTTCTAGACAAGAAAGATCTTGAGTAAACATTTTTTATCAGCATTCCTTTACAAGATAAATAACCTTTGTTATTGATCTGACATTATGAAGTTTCAGGAGCTGACTGTTCAAATAGTTCATTGATATAATGAAAAACACACTTTCTGATTTAATTTGAGAAAGCAGACTTTGCTTGCCTGAATGCTGTAATTCTGGGACTAGAATTCTGTTGTCTCTCTAGGTGGAAAGACTGTTGTATCCAGTGCGTGAAGTTAGCTTGTCTCTGAAAAGCATCATAGTGTTCTGATGCATTTCTTTTTTTAGGCCACTTTCTCAACAGCTTGTTTGACGAAGAGGAGTAGAGTCTGGGTTTGTATCTCTCGCCAGGGATTCAGAATACAGATTTTCATATTAGTGCTCTCAGAATATTTAAGACTGTGTAGAAAATGCTACCGACTTCATGGTGTTTCATTTTGAATGCTGCAGCATTAAGGGACCTCAAGATCCTAGCAGTTTTCTTTGTGAAAAGCTTTGTTTTAAGGAGAACATATTATGAACCAGAGTCCTATACTGCCAAATGTCAGCAAGAATGAAAAACAGGTTTTTGTCTTTGGAAGTCATAATATTAGAAGCCATCATTTGATATCTGGGATCTGACGCATGGTTAGGTTTTTTGTTCTGTTTTTCAAATTAAGTTTTGTTCATTGGGAAGTCAAATAGCACTGCATTAGGACTGTCCATCACTGGTATGTAAGTAATGGGGCTTCAGAATTGCTGCCAGAGTTCCTGTAAGTATTGTTTTCCCTTTGTCGCCGTTATCCAGTGTGCTTAGGCGTAATTTATTTTTAAACACTTCAGGGAGTAGCTCCATGGCAGTTTGAGCAAACCCTAAATCAAGGCTGTCAATGGTTCTCTGTTCATCCTTATGTTAACATGGTGCTCATCCAGCTATGCAGTGAACAGCTTGGAGGGGGGGAAGTTGATCTTCCTTATTTTTGCGGGAAACAGATGATCACACCTGATGCAGTAGAGCAACCAAGGGGAAGCTATATTTAGAAAGTTGTTTGTCAGGCAGCCATAGAGGGGAGGGAGAGGAGAAGAAATAGAAGAAATTTGGGGTTGGAGTGGATAGTCTCAGGAAAACACTGTCCAGCAGTATAGTTGGGAAAAGTGTGGAAGTGTCTAGAGTGCATTGCTTTGAGATGGTGAGCATATGTTGTTGGTGTGCTTTGGTACTGTCTGTTTTTAAAAGGATAACAGTAGTCAAACTCAATATTAAAGCCTTCTGTTGGTGTTGCTTTCCAGTGCTTTACATAACTATTTCATGCAGTGCTTGATTATTGAATTTAATATTAAAAACAATAGGATATGGACACTAAGGTTTTTTGCTCCCAACTAAGATATGTACTCCTCTTGCTCTTTGACCCAATACAGCCTAAATTATTTTCTTACGAACCCAGTTTGAACAGGAAAGTGACGAATCCTTCCACTGGAAAGAAACACAGTGGCTAAGGAAGATGTAATTTTGAATCCCCTCAAGCAAATGAAAGAATTAAACTTGGCGTTAGTTATTTGTGGGAGAATGGTCTAATAGTTGTAGCTTCTGTGTTTTTTACAGTGGGTTTTTTTGCTCAGCTCTCTTAAAACAAATAGTATGTATGCTGATAAGGAAAAGATCTGGAGTATGAATTCAGTTACTGTTCTGTTTCCTATTTGCTAACATGTGGCTAACTAGAGCTAGTTTCTGGGTGGCTTTTTGATCAGCTGTTTGATCCTCCTTGTGAGACATAAAATGCTCTGTGAATTTGTGTAAGAGACCTTACATTTAATCATTTCTTCCTCCCTCAACAACTTGTTTGCTTTTATTTTGGGACCATCTGAAATGTCGTTTGCATAGCCCAGGTGATAATCCTAAATGTTTTCACTTTGAAAATTGTATATAATCATGAAAAACAAATAAGGACACTAATCTTGAAACTGGCATTCTTAGCATATATGTCCTCTGTACTTAGTTTAATGATCTTTTTGTACATCAGTGGGGAACTATTAATTTCACTCTTCAGATTTGTGTGTATTTTGGCTTCAGTAACTTCTGTTCTAAAGCTGTGTGTGGTGTTGTTTCCTTATAGGTAAAAGGAGGCATTGAGACTACCTTAGAGAAAGAAGTCCTACAATATGACTACTCTTCTTCATATTTTGATATATTTGTAAGTGTTCTTTTTTAAAAAAAAAAAAGAAAGAAAAAAGCAGGAAAAGTATAGTTTTCCCACGTTCCTCCGTCCACAGATGTTCCCTAGATTGAGTCCTGTGAAAGGGTTGATCTTTTCTTGGTAATTTAAACCAGAAAGACAAATTTCACCTGTCTAGGGGTTGCCCAGTCCTGCTTTGGCAGCACGCTCATGGAGCCTGTGGATAGAGATGCTTATGCACACTTAAATTGCATCTTCTGCTTTGGAGGGCATGGAAAAGCAGATGAAAAACTCAGTCAAGAATGTGAGACTGATAATAAAGGTAATTCATTAAGAAGACAAGTCCTCCAGCTGTAAAATCATTTTGTTTAAACCGATGTTTTTGTCCTTCCACAGAAGTAAGTCAGTTGCAGTGAGGAGAGACTTGTTCCCAGGTTGACCTGTATAGGTCAGGTTTTTTTCAGATTTCTGTGTTTTAACTCAAACAGGTTTTTTTAACATTGTACTAAAAATAGATGACATGAAGTATGATTCTCCCTACTGTGTATTAGCACCTGAGGCACATGGGAGGAACTCTACAGCATTAGGAAATTTCTCTGTCTTTGAGCAACACCGTAGCTCTGTAGTTGCAATTCATTTTGTACTGCATGGACCAAGTTACTGATCTCGAAGTAAAAGCTGTTTCTTTACGGTTCTCCTAAAGGGCCCCATGTTTTTGCAAGATCATTAATTCTACCAGATCTTGTTTGCCTGGCAGAGATGAGTTGGTTTCAGTCATTTTATATTGATGACTATATCAAGAATCTCTCTTTGAAACTGGTATAAAAACCCAGCCTTGCTTCTACATTGGACCATTTGCTCTGTCAAATGGAATGAGGTATTGGATACAAAAATTTCATAAGCTAGCAAACTATGCTACTTTCTTCCTTTCTCTCTCATTATTTTGCTGGCAGGTTCTCCATCATAGACCTTACTGTAGAAGGCAAAAAATGTTATCTGTAAATGTTGATGCTCTGGAAATTATTTTGCCCTGTAGTTGAACCTAGGGTTAAAAACATGTAATGCAAAATTCCCTGGGAAGGGACTAGGTCATTGAATTCTGCAAAATTATTTGTGGGCTTATACAGGATTTCTTCTGTTTCCACATCACTGAAACATTAGATTAAATGGGTTCATTGTATCTCTGGCCATGTCTGTTCTTGATTTCTCTTCATTTTTAAGCGTTTGTTTCACACTTTTTAGATTCTGAACACATCTTTTAAAACAAGTTGGAGGCAATCTAATATCAAAGAATAAACAGGGAAATTGAGGGTTAAGGTCCCTGATTCAGAAATCTCATCTGTCTGCTATTGACTTCATTTTCAGGCCTAGAAATACCATAATTTACCTTTCTTTACTGCAAAATATTTTGAATGGCTTGATATTGCAGGCATGTCCATAAAGAATAATTGATTGTTGCAATGTTAATATTTCAATAAATACTAAAAATTTACTAAGTAGAAAATAGTTTTTAAAAAATCTTCCCATTTTCTGATTGCATTTGTGAAATCTTTACAGTTTTTAATGACATTCTTGCACAGTAGCACACCACTAAGGTCAGTGAGATGCACAGTGATGCTCAAGGTATTTGCTGGATTAACTGCATCTAGATTTAACTGCTTAGATTGCAGGCAGGTAAAACGATCATGAACATACTTTGTGTAGCTTTCTTATGTTTCTAACTTATTTGTGGAATCCCACATGCTTGCATGTTTGAGTCTTTGTAGGCATGTGAGTGGTGCCATTTGCTTTACAAATGGAAAATCATGTTCTATTTCTGTTTTATAAGCACACATTCAAATTTGTTTCTCAATAACAGAACCTAGATTGTCCTGTTTTAAGTTGTTTTGTAAGCAGTTAGTATTTTCAGTGAGCTGAGAATCTTGTGGTTCTTCTGTGTTCTGAATTAACCAACAAATATTTTTTTCCTTTCTCTATAGCTACTGGCAGTCTTTCGATTTAAGGTGTTAATACTTGCATATGCAATGTGCAGACTGCGCCATTGGTGGGCAATAGCTGTGAGTAGTAGCCAAGCATAATGGAGTTTTAACTAGAATGGATCAAACAGACAAAATTTTAGATGCCTCTTAACGCTTGTATGTTAAGAATCATCTTGATGCTATATACAAAAATTCACTGTACAGTAACAGATTAAAAACTTCTGTTCTGGAAGATTTTCAGCCTAAAGGCAAGAATTTAATAGCACAGTGGGTGTGGTCCTTATTAGGTATCATGTTAATACAAATTGAAGACTTATTTTGAATCCAGTATGGATGGCTAGTTGTAACTGCTTGTTACCTCTGACTTGTTAATTAATGTTTGAAATATATTTGCTTTTGAAATAGCGAACTGTATTCAAAAAGAAGAATTGGCATTATTGTACCAGAGATCCAGCTGTCCATTAACTCCCACATTCTTAGCTTTTTAGAGTTTTAGGTGCCACCCATTGAGCACTAGCACCTGTGTTGCTTCATGCTCCAATACAAAATGTTGAAGATGTATCCCTTCTTAGAAAGGAAGTTCTTGAGAACTGTAGGCAATTACAATGATTGGAGCAAATATCTTTAATGCAGCTGTACTGTGTGGATGAGAAAGAATGCAAAACTTGATGACAAATTCATACTTCCACCAGTCAATACTATAGATTGTAATACAATAGGCATATTGCTGGCTTAGTGCATTGTAAATCTTAGGCTCTTTTCCCCTTACACTGTGGTAGGTGCATGTAGAATGTGTTCATGTATAACTTTCTTCAAGTGAATAGCATGCAGTTTGTTTAGTAGTCTGAGATTACATGCCATGATTTTTTTGAAATTGCGTTATTAGCATGGCACAAACACATACATCATAGTAACTGCTGCTCTGATTGTCTTTATTTTTAAGTGCACACCTCTCAAAATCCCTTACACTTAGTTGTGTAGCTTTAGATGTCATTCTTCCAATGACATCCTCCAACTTGATGCAGTTGTTTGTGAGGTGGTGAGAGTGAATCCATCATGGTAGTAAGCAATTTAGATATATAAAGCTTCACTGAAGGTTTTGCAGAAACCATTAATCTTAAAATCCTACCTGTGCTTACCAGAAGATAGTTAGGTTCTGCTGCTATTTAAAGAATTGCTGGACCCAAATGCACTGACAGAGTTAGAAGCCTTGCTTAAGGGAACAGTACTTGTCCACTGCTTTTTTTTTTTTTTTTTTCCCCAGACGTTTTATGCAGCCTGCCATTTTTTAAATATGTCAGGGAATATAAATTCTTCAAACTGATTCATTTTTCACAATATCAGTACATGAAGTAAAATATTAATTCAAATTTACTCCTGCAAAGATGTTTTGTTATTTGAAATGGATCTTTTGATTTGGATGGTAGTGAAAAGCATTTGGAGCAATTGCTGTTTGCTTTTTCCCAAACACATAGATTTTTTTTTTTTTTTTTTTTTTTTAAGGGACTTGGTGAATAAAATACTGCATCTTCATTATACAGTAAGATTACAATTTATGTAACTCAGCATCTGTGTAGCATTTAAACTGCCTATCTGCTGTGTGGAAATCAACATTTGGAGATGTCTGTATTAAAAGTTATCTTTATTAAGGAGGTTATTTTAATAACACTTTAAGTTAATTGTATCATACTTGTTACATTTTATTAATCTATGATGTTGCTGCTGTTGGTAAATATTTGAAGTTGCAACTGATAGATAATGGCAGAAATGAGAAAGTAAATCCATTTATTAGTTTTAACTGTTCTTACCCTGTCTCTTTCAGTTTACAACAGCAGTGACCAGTGCCTTTTTATTAGCAAAAGTAATTATTTCACAGGTATATATTCTAATCAAATGTTTGTTTTACTTTGTTGTTTTCTTGAAAGCAAGATTCTTCAGGGTAATTTCTGTAATGTTGTGTGCTTTTGTTTCTTTCAAGCTGTTCTCACAGGGTGCTTTTGGCTACGTGCTGCCCATCATATCCTTCATACTTGCCTGGATTGAAACTTGGTTCTTGGACTTTAAAGTGTTACCACAAGAAGCTGAAGAAGAAAACAGTAAGCTTTTGATATTTCCACTGAATTGCTGCAGTTGGCAACATTCAATCCCATGTTATCTGGCAGAAGAATGCTTCTTTCAGCTTCTCAAAAGTTGAAGAGCTGTGAGAAAAATTAAATCATATGGCATAATTTTTCTTTTTCTGGAAAGTAATATATGCCTTCAAAGAAGTGGGTTTTTAATTAATTTAGGGAGGCAAAGTTAAAAGTTACAAGGGCCAGATCAGCAATTTTTCAAGCACTTAGGAACATATATAATTTTGTATGCTTAAGACATGAAAATTTAACTGACTTGGGCTTGTAAAATTTTATTTTCTGGGTAATGCATAGAATAAGTGTCTGGTTCCTCTTTTAGGAAGAGTAGACACAATAATTAACTCAATGTCACTAATTCTTCTTTTGAGGTGGAAAAGGGAAAGCAAAGAAGTATTGTGGAGAGTCTGCTTCATGCACAGACAGAATGAGACCAGAACGAGTATGACTTTTAGCTTCTTCAAGATGAGGCAGCAGGTCATCTCACACTCGATGTATTCAACTAAATGGAGGAAACCCATTGATTTAGTTGAAAGAGAATATTGCTTGAGTGGTGAGGAAAAGAAAGCATAGACTTCTGCTACAGATGTTTTGTTATTTTCAACAGCAGGAGAGTAATTATACAGTGAACCTGTTATTTGTGCATCATTATCTGAAATACAGTCTGAAACTCTTGCTGAAAGGGCATGTTTGCCTGTTAGGTAGAAACAAAAACTTTACATGGGCATGGATGCCTCCATTTTGTTAGTGCTGTGAAATGCAATCTTTCTACTTTGATCCCTTCCCTTTTCTTTTCCACCACTCCAAGAAAGAAGTTGGTTAAATGAGTACACTGGGTTTTGCCTAGAGGAAGGGAAACTTAGGGTAACTTTTTTTTTCCTCTTTTGAGGGAGTGAGGAAATACAGCTGCATCACACTTTTATCTCAATACATAAGAAATCTAACCAGTTCAGAGACTTTTGCATTTTTTTATACTGAATATTCATAGACAAAGAAAGTATTTGATACATACACATGTAAATACTTTATAATCGTATTCATAAAATTGAGATATTATTGCTAAATCCCTGTGGGATTCAATGACTTTCTCTTCATTCCTACTGAGCTTGAAATAGATGGTATTCATCTAGAAATATACGCTTTTTAATTGAACTCTATATATTTTGAAAAAAGATGGGGTTTCACTGGAAAATGCTGGGTTTAAGCAATTAAATCACACAAATGATAGGCACGTTTGGATTGTGTTGTGTGGTGGTACTTATATAGTGTCTTATTTGCTTTTAAATCTGAGGCAGATAATGAAAAGAGATTTTAATAGTTTTTGCTTTTTGACCAGGTATTTTTCTCTCCTGTCTCTAGTGGGAGTGGAAGCTGACTTTTTTTCATCTTACTGTTTTGTTTTAAAAAAACCCCAACCAAACAAAAAAAAAAACCAACCACAGCAATTTTCCGCCTAATGCAACAGTACTTATAATTTGGAAATGTTTTGTCTGTAACAAAAAAAAAAAAAAAAAAAAAAAAAAAAAAAAAAAAAAAAAAAAAAAAAAAAAAAAAAAAGAAGAAGAAGAAGAAAAAAGGGCAAAACTGTCTTTCCACTGAAGAAGATTTCCAGCTCTAAAAGTTTCCTTCCGTGAGCAGGATTTAAAGCTAAAATCCAACCATTATGTGTCTTCTAGTATCTTGTGACTCATTGTTAAGTATGGAGACTGACCTTCCTCTTTTGGACAGAGTGGAAATATAAGTAAAATAGATGTCTCCTTTGGAGACTTTGAACCGGTTAGTAAGATAAATTGGTATGTAGAAATAGTAGTTTGCGTTGGAAAGAGATTTTTTTAATAACTACTGGCTACGTCAGCTCTCCTGATTCAGTAAAACATCAAGGTTTTCTTGTTTTGTTCCCATCAGTCTCTCTCATGTGGCAGAGAGTAAAGGATGGAAATTCAGTAGCCTTATGTTGACCTAAAATGCCATCTTTGCCTTGTTATTATCAGAAGACCTGTTGATGGAAGTAAGGATGAAATGAATTAGCTTCTCTCCCAACCACTTTTGGTTTTTGTCCTGTATTAAACACACCAGAATAGCCCCATGTAATTTCCAAATAATTTTCCTGATTTTAGATGAAATTGAGCCAAAAGGAGTTGAAGGTTGGAGTAACTAGGTATGTTGAGACAGATAGGTGAAAGCAAGCCATTAATGAGGAGTCTTATAGTGGCAAAGTGAGAAAATAATTTATTTGGTTATGCGTGGCAGCTCATTGATCATTAAAAATATATTTCAGAGTTTTAGTTAGTGAATATTGATGAATTTACATATGGCATCCTAATCATGCAATCACACATAGTAGAAGGAAGGATTCCTTAATTCATGTGTTTTGCTAGAGTGTGTCTCCTTAGCTGCCTGAAGTTATATAGAAGACATAAATGTTAAATTAAGAGTTTTCTTTTTTTCCAAGATATTTATTTATAGAAGTAATTTGTTAGGAATGCTAATATAATACATCAATCTTTGAGATTCTTCATCAATACTTGATCTTTAAGATGCTATATGATAACGTTGAGGATTTGGTTTTTTGGTTTTTTCCTTTTAGGATTTTTGTTAGCACAGGATGCTTCTGAACGAGCAGCTCTTCTTCACCCAGGAGTCCTCTCTGACGGGCAGTTCTATTCTCCTCCTGAATCTGTAGCAGGTAGTTATGTTCGCCTAGTGAATGATTTTTCGTATTGACGTTAAACTCCTGCATATTTCACCCCCTTCAGAGGGTAAGGCGGGGGAAGGGTGAAGGGAAAAAAATATGTTTTCCTTTTTAAATGAAAAGTGTACTTTACAATCCTAAAATGAAAGATTCTTTTTTATTCAATAATTCAGTTTAGTTACTACCTATCAGATGAATTACAATACACGTAGTTAGTGGGGCTTCTGACATGTCCCAAAGGTGTTAAAAAGAAGGTAAGTCTGAAAGAAAATCGTACCGCAACTGAAAGGAGGCGGTTATTATTTGTTTCTGATGATCCCTATGGGTCCCTTCCAACTTGAGATATTCTGTGATTCTGTGATCTCTTATCTGCTAGCAATAGTGTTTATGCAGCAATGCACTACTTAATCCAGCCTAAACTTGGAGCTTTACAGTATCTTAGGATAGACAGTGAACCTGAAACTGCTCTAAAGCAAACTGAAACTTCAGTCAGAGGCTCTTTTCCTTTCTCATAACAGAAAGAAGAAAGCCGTCTCTCTATGAAAAGGCTAGCTGTGAGGGTATGTTAAACTGAGGGCAAGTTTAATTGCGTCTTAACTCTGCATATCATAGTTGAGGTATGAGCCGAGTAAGGCATAAAATAAATGGAAATACTGCAAGGTTTAAGAATGTGTTTGCAGGCATTTCAAGGAAAAGAGTAATTTCTTTATTGTTGAGTGGATTTGAGTTATTTGATGTCACAGTGTGAACCCCCAGATCCTATGTCAGTCTTTTTACCCTAAGATGTAAATCTCTTCTGTAAAGCTGTGCTGTATTATGCAATATATTTAAAATACTAGTATCTGCTAATTGCTAGAGATACGTTTGCCTATCTTGCATTATAGAGTTATACATGTTGGTGGTATTTTTCAGTTTAATGGCTGTCTTTATGGTTGCTGAGCATCTTGGCATAATGAATGACTTAGAGCTCCATCTAGGGATGACAAAGCATTAAGACAATGTCGAGTATAACTAATGATTCAAAGTGAAAATGTATTTTAGTTAAAGTTGTGAGTCTATCTTGAGGAATAATAGTTGGAAGTATTATACTGGATTCAGCCTGGGATTTTTTGGGCAATAGAATATACAGTGTGAGAGGAAGTGGAAGTGGAGCTAACGTGTTTTCCTTGGCAGTTTGGCTGGGTCAATGTTGCACGTGCAGTGAGCTATTGTGCCTCAGCATGCATGTGGTGACTATGGGTATATGACTGTGCCATTGCTTTCACCTTATCGAATGGCTGCTTGTCACCTGGGTTTCAGTAACAGCTCACGTGCCTTCTCCTAGTCTGCCCTAACTGCCAAGTAAATTTGTTTAAGCACCCTTTATGGGTATGAGAGGCAAAAGAAACAGTCAAATGAATATATTTGAATTAAAACACACACACTGGTAGTCACAAAGTATTCTGAAACTGTTAGATGATGTGCAGTAAAAATAGCTCACAATTAAAAATATTTTCTTCAAAATTCTACATTTCTTTCAGATAAGACAAACTATGGATTGTTCTAAGAGAGCAATTTTTGGTCAATTTGCCTTACATGTTGATTGGAAAAATATTTATAGATAAATTATTCCCCATGATCATGCAGAGGGGAATAAACCCCTCTGCTGACATGGCAACATGTCTAAAAACAAATCTTTGCTGTAAGGAGGTGACATTTGAAACAGGCTCTGTTGGAATTTTCAGCATATTTATCTTTTTATGTCTTTTTTTTTTTTAATCTGGAATTTGCAGCATATTTATCTTCTTATGCACATATCCAGGGCCATACCCTTCTCCATCCACTTCTTTATATGGGTTGACCCTTCATCTTCAACATTAGACTTGGTTGCCAAGTAATCATTCTGGAGGTAGCAAGTGGAAAATCAGCCTGGAAAGAGTAAATTTCTACAGTTTCTGTACAATTTGAGCTTCAAAATGAAAGGCAGGTATGCTATTCCAAGAAAGGAAAGGACTTCAGAGTAGCTTGGCCAAAAAAAAAGCTTAACACCTTTGTCTTTCTTGTTTACTTCTTTGTGAGAGGGAATGTGGGTCCATAGTTCAGCTTTAAATTGATGGCAAAAGCCCAAGTAAGTCTCCCAGGCATTTTATCAAAGACAGTTCTTTACTCACCCTTTTTTCCCACCCCCCCCGCCCCACCCCCGTGGGAGTCTCATTGAAACTGCCCAAGCCATGTATGGTGAAATGCATGGGCTGATAATTTCCTCAGTCATCCCTGACAAGGGCTGACTGCCGTAAGGACTGACTGCCACCTCAGATGTGGGCAGAGACATCTGCGGCTTGGATTGGATCTCCAGAACTGGGGGTCAGAGCTGCTCACCCTGCTTGCTTGGTATCTTCTTGCTCTCCCTGAAACGACTGATCCATCAAGCCACCTTCCTGTAAAGCAGTGCCTCCATCAGGAGCTGTCTCTAGGCACGTAACCGTGTGACCAGCTCAGCTTTCTTTTTGGGGCCTTCCAGGGCTTTGTCACAGCAGAGAGCTGAGAGCAGGCAGGGGACGAGGAGAAGAGAACTGGGCAGGGAAAGGCAGAGGGAGCTGTTTGGTTTCTGGCTTAGAGTGAGACAATCTCTTGCCAGAACATTAGATAGAGAAACTATTCATTTGTAAAGCAGTATTTCTGGCTGCTTTCAAAGTGTCTTCTGAAGTTATCTTCCAAAGGGCAGAATGTAGCAAGTGGGAAAATCTGCTTGTTAGTGAGCAAATGTGGAGTTGATTGTCCTGAGTGTGTTGTAGTGAAAACTTGAAGCACTTGCTAACTGAATCCATTGACAGAGTAGGTATTTCAAGAATGATCCCAGTGCTGGGTTTTGGGTTTGATAACTGTTAAAAAAAGACTTCAATATGAAACATCCCAAAAGATAAGAAATCTAAAATAAAAAGTAAATATTTTTATGGGAAACAGTTGCTTTGAATTGCCTTTTGATAAGCCATTACCAGTGGTGGTCTACTTTTTTTTTTCTTTTTTCCACTCTTTTTTCCTCTCTTTTTCCTTTTTTTCCTCTCTTTTTCCTTTTTTTTCTCTCTTTTTTCTTTTTTTCCTCTCTTTTTCCTTTTTTCCTCTCTTTTTCCTTTTTTTCCTCTCTTTTTCCTTTTTTTCCTCTCTTTTTCCTTTTTTTCCTCTCTTTTTCCTTTTTTTCCTCTCAACTAATCTAATAGCATTCTTGTCTTCCTTTTCAGGTTCTGATGAAGACTCTGAAGAAAAACAAGACAGTGAAAAACCAGTTGTGTAGCAAACATGAAAAAGCAGGTAAGTTCCTTTGCATAGAACCTGAATATTCCTAAAAATATTTTTTCCTTCTTAGTTCCTTCCCACATAATTTGAACGGTGGGCTAACTCTTAGGAGTTAGCTAACTCTTTGAACCCAGTCTGTCTGTCTTAGCAACCTTCAAGCAGGAAATCCTGCCAGGCTCTTGAGAGCCTGTAGTTGGGGTCCTCTGCTGCTGAGTTCTGGTTAACCCGGGCCCAGGGGTCTGAGAGCGCTGTTCTGGAGTATAGTGTGAAAGGCTGCGGGCTTGGGATGGAACACTTCCAGCATTTATTTGTTGGCTGTCCTGGAAAGGACAATGGTGGACCAGATGTGTAAAAGCTCCTTTTTTTTGGAAGTGGGGAGAGAGATTTCTTTGGAGATGGCAATGCAAGAGTGCTAGGAAGAGATTTTCTTTTAGTTTAGGTCTAGGACAAATATACTCATCTTGAAGATTGCATGGGCAAAACTACTTGGATATTTCCCCTTGTCAGTCTGTGTAATACTACAAAAGGGTTACATTGGAGCAGCTGCGTCTTAAGATTTTTGTAGTGTACTTTGGTTAAACGAGAGATGATTTCCTTATTTTGGAAATTGCTTCATTTACCTTCGGAATTATCTTGCTCCATGCTTTCACTTCACCACACGTGGCAAAGCTCAAGCTAGAGGAGGTATTAAATGTTCTTGAGAAGCTGAAGCTTCTGATTTGAAATCTTCTAGTGTTCATCTGGAAGAATGGATGACCTTTTCTTTTCAGCCTCCCCGTTTTCATAATCTGTTTTCTTGACTCGCATCTTCATTCATCCGGACTTGTGTAATCTGTTACAGAAAGAAAATGTCTGAGGGAAGTTGTTGGGGTTTGGAAACTGGCAACAGAGTCTGTGGCTGACTTGCTGGTGGAGCTGCTGACAGGAGAATTTATTCATTAGAAAGCAAAGGGAATGGTTCCCATGTACTGTAATACCTCACAAAGATGTACCTTGTTGACATATGTATATTAGGTTGCCTCCCAGGTGGTATGAAAATATTTGTCCATGATGTATTTTATTATTCAGTGATTCCTGAAGTTGATCCTTCTAATGACTAGGTAATTACTGGAAAGTGTTGTCTTGTGTACCTAATCAAGAGACTGGTAATATAATGAAGTAAAACTTCTCTATGGTGGAAGTATATTTAATGATTGTTGGGACTCACTAGGTAAAATTATTTTATGTTATCGCAAATTTGTCATTAGTTTTATGTTTACTTTTTTTAACTCATGCATTTTCTTTTTTAATGGATATGTTCACTTTCTAAAATAAAAATGTTAAAACATGGGTAATGCATTATGATATTTTGTTGCTTTATTAACTGAAAATTTGCATGTACCATTCCTTTATTTCTTGTGGGGTAATGAGGATTCCAGTTTGCATAGATTTTGTGCAAAATGTGTTATAGTGCTGTTTGGCTGCCTGTAGGGATGCAGTGTTCGTGGTAGTGGAACATCATTTCTTTGTTGCATATGTGATATCAAAAGGATGCAAAGAGCTTTTTGAAATAACTTAGTTCCCACTCCTGTACTGGTGGTGGATGTTCTTCAGGTTCAAGGAGGAAACTGGAGTAAGTGAGCCTTGGTAAACACTAGTATTACCCCACTAGTGAAAGGAAGGTAGTCAATCGTTCAATTTAGGTGTGTAAGTATAAGATATGTATTTTCAGATACAGATCTTAAGTGTTAACTGATGCTTGATCAAAAAAGTTTTAGGCAACACCTAATTCCTACCTAAAGAGGAATGTAAGTGTTGTTGCTTTCCTTATAGAGCAGTTAGGTTTTATTAGCAACCTGCACAGCAAATATTAAGTACCAATGTATTCTTCACATGTTAACTCATGCATATGGACTATATTGCTTTGTCGTATTTCTATTGCTGTGGAACAGAAGCATAGTGGATAGAAGACAGGATGGGCTGTGGTCTATCTCTTCCAATCACAGCTTTTCCTTGCAACAGTAGTGACTGTTTCAGTTTACAGGATTTTTCCACTAAAAGCACAAACCGAAAGCCAGTCTTCAAAGCATTAAAACATACACTGGCTTCCCCTTATTCAGTCTCAACAAACAATAAACTAGCAGCAGGGGCTTGTAAGCCACTGCAGCTGTCAAACTCACAGCCATGAACTTGATGAGCCCCAGAAATTGCAGATGGATACCTATGTTCAGCACTGTTTAGGGCTGTGTGGATGCAGGATTTCTCCTCTTTTCAGTTTTGCGTATGAGACATTGCAAGTGGGCTGGGAGATCATTTATTAAAAGTGGGCTTGAGCCATGAACATGATCACTTGCTTAGTTGTCCTGTTGGAGTTGAGGCTACAGCACCGAATAAAGAGCATTTTGGGGGCAGTACAAAGGAAAAGGAGAGGAACATATGGAGATGAAAGTGATGCTGTTGAAGTGTCTGCAAGAGCTACATTTAAGCAGATGTTTTGAGAATACCTTCATTTTAGTTGCTATCACGCTTTAACAGTAAAATCATCACCTGCCTTTTTGCTCCAAATAACAGTTCTGTAAATAAGTGTATGACTAAAAGATTAGGCAGTCTATCTTCCTTCACACTGAAGATCAATATAGGTCGAAGGCAGTAAGTGGTTACATTGGCTTCAGTATGCTATTTCTAAAATTCTTTTCTGTGACTACTGGATGAAAAAAATAAACCAGGATCAAGTCTGTCACTTATGTCACTTCAGATTATTCAAGATCTGTTTCAGAGGATGCAGGTAAGAATAAATCGTTAGAAGAAAAAAATAAATCAAAACCTGTCATTTAGCAACGCTGGAATGTTCCTAATCAAATATTAAACTCAGTGAGAAAAATGCATCTGGGATAGGAGGTCAAAAGTTCCATTAAACCTATGAACTTCGTCTAGGTGCATGACTTTATTTGCACACCTTCCTCAATCTGCAGTATGGAATTCCTCTGGAAATCTAAGAAATCCAACCTATTCTCAGTGCCTGCTTCATCCTGCAGTTCAGTACTGAGAAAAATTGGGAAAGGGGGTGTCCTGGTTTCAGCTGGGATAGA